GTGTGTGTGTGTGTGTGTGTGTGTGTGTGTGTGTGTGTTGTAGAGTCTGGATGATGGCAGGCCACAGAAAGCTCTGCAGAAGCCTCCTCTGAGGCAGGAGACCAACATAGCCAACTTCTCCTACCGCTTCTCGATGTATAACATTAACGGTGAGACATCTCAAGTGTCCACATCAGGCTAATAGCAGAAAAATGTCCAAAGAAGTGTTGTCTCATATCATTTGCCCCCCCCGCTCTACATCCTTTTGATCTGTGCAGAAGCTCTGAATCAGGGGGACACGGTGGACCTGGACGCTCTGATGGCTGACCTGTGCTCCATCGAGCAGGAGCTGAGCACCATCTCCAAACCCAATTCCACCTCTCGCAGCCAGGGCAAAAGCCAGCAGAGGGGCCTCGGGGGCCGCAGTGCCAGCTCAAAGCACACCGGCACAAGTGGAGGAGGAAGCAGCGGAGGTAGACCCATAGATTTATGTTCGCCTATAAAATACTGCGCTATAAGCAGGGTTGCACATAAAATGTTTGGTGTGGTTCTCAGGGGAGAACCTAGGGTTGTTGCTTGGTGCTCTTATTTTCCTTCAATCGTTTAACACATTTATCTATAGGGGTGTCCAGGCATTTATTATCACCCTGTTCTGTTTTATGACTCCTATCAGCTGGCAGTGTTTCGGGACATCATGCCAAATCAGAGTTTATTTTTTTTACTCTGCATATAATTTGTAAACTACCTAAGTGTCCAGTGGGCTGACCCATGGGTGTATGTCATATAAAAATCACAAACTGAACATTTCATGTTTAAATATCTGTTAGATTATACATGTCCCTGAGATGGGCAGCTCCTGTAGTTTGACCTTCTAGATCTTTGGCCTTGTTTAAACCAGATTTCCACACTCTCCAGACCAAGCAGCAAATATCTCTTTTGCACAGAACAAATCTTTTATTTGTTAGACTGATTTCTTTTTTTAAAGACTATTTTATTCAAAAATATTAAATGGTTTCAGCTCATGTAATCATTTAAAATGATTTATTCTTCATATTTTATCATTCATTGAAATACATTCATCCCAGAGCAGCTGTGTCACAGTATGATTCTAAATATAAACATGGTTAGCACATCAAGAACCTTGTTCTTATCATAAAATTGTGAAGAATGAAATTTGTGGATCTTTCTGATAAATTAAAATAACATTTAAAACTCATTTACAGAATATGGCAAGTTTTTATTTTTATTTTTTTTGGATGGGGGTGACGTTAAACAGAGACTCATCTTTGCTTTGATATGGGGCAAATAAATGTTCTTCTGTTAGAGGTAATATGGTTTAGAATAACTCCAATGGTGAATCTCACAGAAAGACTCACAGCCTGCGTGAGCTGAGGTGCGTTCCTGTCTCAGGAAGAGAGTTTAGTCACTGATGCAAAGTTGGACAGATCTGTTTGATAACAATGCTCTGAACATATATTTAATATAAAGTTAAAGGTTTTACAGACCAAAGTCTCTGGTAGTTCAGGAGCAAAGATGTCCTGACTGATCGCTGGAGCCGCTGCTTCAACCTGTCTCTGCTGAAAACTGCTCTGACTGAAAGTCCCGCCCTGCTCTGCTCTGATTGGATAAAACGGCTCTGGAGTGTTTTGATTCGTTGAAAGCAGTACATCAGGGTCCCGCTGCCCTCCACTGACAGAATGACAATCCAGTCAAACCAGTGAGGCTGGATCATTATTTTTTTGTTTGTTTTTAAGAAATCAGGTCACATTTGCGACCCTGCTAGCTGTTGTTTTCACAATCTCAGGTACAATCTTAGGTACCCAAGGGAGCTTTATGACATTCCATCTGGTGCGCTTCTTCTTTTTTGATTGCACATGCGCACCACTTATGTGCAACTCTGGTTATAAGAGGTTAAATTATAACCTTTTTTTGTTTTCCCAGTGTGTTTTATAAAGAATTACCTCCTCAAAGAGTGCAGGTGGTATTTTTTAGGACTTATCCCTGTGTTGAAACCTCCCTGACAGGAAGTAGCTGTAGCAGCACCCGAGCGTCACCAGCCAACACCGTACGAGGCGGCAGCCTGAACGCTCGGCCCGCGGCCTCCAACATCTCGCTGGATGACATCACCTCTCAGCTGGAGAGGGCCTCGCTCAGCATGGATGAAGCAGCACGTCAGACGTCCTCTTCCTCCTCTTCCTCCTCTTCGTCCTCGGTTTCCTCCGCCACCCTCAGACGCCCCTCCTCAGGATCTGGGTCGTCCGGCAGCAAGCAGCACCGGAGGACCGGGTCGGTGGGCACCGTCAGCGAGCAGGACGCTCGGTCCCAGCGGTCCAGCGTTAATTCAGCCTCAGCTTCCAGCATGGACTCCCTGGACACGGACAAAGTGATGAGAGGAGACGCCGAGGACCAGAGCAGTCCCAGCAAAGGACAGAACCAGACCAGCACAGAGGTACACTACTCCAGCTTAAAGCACTCTAGGTTGGATTGAGGAAGTGCGTGTCCGTGTGAGAGACGTCCAGTTTCAGTTTTTTATTTCCGCCATGTTATCCCCTACCTTTCTAAACTCCTGTGTTCACGTACTAAACATACTGGCTCTCTAACAAAAGCAAATTATCCTTCTTAAAACAGGTTTAACCTGCTGGAAATGCAGCAAATCTCAGCTAACACATTGCTTTTAACTCTCAAAGCTCAAAATGAGGGAAAATAAATAAAGAAATCTTGCATGTCCTGTGTCTCTGCCCCTCCCCCTCTGCATGTGATTATTTTGTTTGTGTTTTGCATCCTTTGATGTATCACTGACCTCTTTCCCCATACACACACACACTCACTCACTCACTCACTCACCCTGCCTGCACCTCCCGACTTTCCCAGCATGCCACTCTGCGACGGGCCAACAGTAAGAGAGCCAGGCAGCAGCTTGATTTCACCTCACGGGAGGGTGAAGTGGACCGGGCCACTGTAAGTGCACGTGTGTGTGTGTGTGTTCGTGTGTGTGTGTTTGCGTTTGCGTGTGAAGCTGCACATTTTAATCCTAAGGTCTAACAAAATCTGAAAAGGTTTGAACAGAATGGAAAAAATTACAGCTTAGGTTTGCGAAACTTTGACAAAGCCAAACATTTTGTGGTTAATCAATTTATGTATTATCACCCTCTGCTGAATGATTTGTAGTTTATTCATTTGTCTGCCAGATTGGCTAAATATTTCATGAACCACTGGACACACTTTTATACCTGGTCCTTTCTCCTCATAAACACATCCATACTTTAAAATTCTGACACGAAAGGCAGCGGGCGATGTGCATTTTTTAGGCAAAACTATTTTGATTTATATTTGTATTTTCCATCCTGCTTCAACATTTTCTGACTTGGTTGTGCTTTTAAAACTTTTTTTTGCACGACAGAGAAATATTTTCTTAAAGTGCAGTTTATGATGATTAAATCCATCATTTCCTGACAGATTAGCTGTAGGCTGTTGTAAAATAGGATTATATTATGTCTTCAGTTCTAATGCTTCTCACTATCATTGCTTCTTTACCCACAGCTGCAGCTAAATGCAGAATCCTCTCACTTCACGCTTCGTTTTTCTTTTTTTCTTTTTTTCTTTTTCTTTTTTTTTTTTTAGATCAAAACACCTGCTATTAATAAGCCTCAAAGAATCATCTGGCACTGACTTCTCCATTTTTTTGTCTTCTCCTCACCCTAAGCATTCCTATCTGGATCAAGAAACCTCGCTCATTCTGAAAAGCATAGCAGGAAAACCTTCTCACCTCCTGACCAAGGTGACTTCCTCTTACACTTGCTGATTTGTGTGTGTGGGTGTGCGTGTGCTGCTCCTTCCTCCTGCTCTGCATGCCTGTTAGGATACAAATCTTGTCTTAGCTGGTGGGTATTCCCTTCTTGTGGGAACCAAGTACCTAGTCCCCATGGAGCGGGTTGGGTTTAGGACCAAGGTGTGAATTGAGTTCAGGTTAGATTTAGGATCAGGTAGGTACCTGTGAGGTTAGTTTTAGAGTAAGGGGTCAGGGTTAGGCTGTAGAAATTAATATAAGTCAATGCAATGTCCCCATAGAGATAGCTGTACTAGACTACACACACACACAGGCTTTCTAACAGAATCAAATTTGATTTGATTTTTTGCTAATTAAAATAAATTCAAAGAAGTTTCATCTTGATTGACTTGATTATTGTATCGACTTGTTAGTATCATCCGACACTTTGGTAGATAGTGCATGGTTATTCAACTGGTGGCCTAGGGGGCACATCTGACACACTGGGTGACCTCAGTCTGGCCCACTGCTTTTTTTTTAACCAAGGGGGAAAAAGCCTTGGTAGACATTTAAACAAATCTGAAGTGACAAACATTGTTATCAAAGATGTGATCTTGTTACATAGATCTGTGACAGGACTATAAATCTCAGTCTGCCTTCCACTGAAATCAAAACTAGATTTTAAATCGTGAATTATTTTTTTACATAGCATCAGTAACTGCCCGCCCCCTCCAAGAGACCTGATTGATGATGATAAAAACTTGGTTTCTCCTCTTTTTTTGTTTATGTACTAGAAACGTTAAAGTGACTTGGGGTTTTCAGCTGAATTCTGTTTAACGTTTTAGAGAATAAGCCAATCAGTCTTTCTTTGCCAAACTTTGACAACTGATCAGTGTCCTCCTCCCCATCTCTTGCTCTCATTGGCTGTAGTCCTAACACTGGTCACACTTACTAATTTTCTAAGAGTACTGCCATTCCAGACATTTGATCAGAGTCTGTTGAGTGTTGATGACTCATCTCTGTGGTCACACAAGGGAATTAACGAATAATCAAATTAACAGTTTTGCATCAGATCTGGGCCAGTTTTCAGGACCTGCGTCTGCTACCGCCAACTCATTGAGTCATTTAAATCAACCTTCATCCTTCTGGAAAACTAGAGCTTGACCTTGTATGTTGTCAGCTCTAAGACTCTGTCTTGGAGAAAACAAGAGCTAGAAAAATGTAGCATTTTATGCAAAAATGGGAGTTGAAACAGAACTGAACTGAAATTAGCTTTAGTAGCTGAAAGCTGTAAGTAGGATATGAAAACAGATTTAGAGTCTGCTGAAGTAGATTTCAGTGAAGTGTTTTTGAAGGAATCAAAGAGCTCTTGTTGTATTTTGACGGAGATATTGTGTGCAAATAAAGCTAAATATTCCAAAACCATAAAAGGGACAAATACTAAAAGTCATAGCACACTATTCTTGATCGAGCTGAACATTTGGACGTGTAATATTTTATTCCTGGCATTTGTATTTCCGGCACTGGGGGCTAAGGTAGTTTGGCGGTCTTCTTCCGCGGCTAGGTTTGCGTCAGGAACAGCATCTGTTGTAAGATCGTCGCCAAACCTTTCCTGCTAATTCACTCGCTGTGGCGACCCCTGAAGGAGGAGATTTCTGGCGTTTGCATTGAAAGCTTTTGGTTCRTTAAAAAGCAGCAGAAAAGTATCAGACTCCTGCAGCGCTCAGGCTAACAGGGACCCGCTCAGCAGAATCCAGAATCTCAGAAGAAGCTGTGCGGCGGAGAGGGGAGCGAGTGCGAAGACATCAAAGGAGGATGGTGCCAAGATTTCTTTCCCAGCAGGCAGAGGAGCTTTTTAATTTTTGCTGCGGTTGTGGCTGAGCCCGTGGAATACGAATCAGCTTCTTGTTTTATAAAAAACGAGTCGCAGCCGTCACATGTAGAGGAGATCCTGGAGCGGAGGACGAAATGGAGAAAAGGCACACGCAGATCTTTGTGTGTGTGGTTCGACCCGGCGCGACTCTACAAAGCTCCCATGAACTCTCAATTTTCTTTTACTCGCTCTCACTGGAGCGGCTAAAAGCCTTGCCGCCGTGTGTTGGCTTTTATTGCTTTAACGCGTGTGTGCGTCTGAAAGTTGCTCAGGTGGAAAAGTGAGTCTGGGTCAACGGGGGGGGGGGGGGGGGGAAGGGGATGGGCTCTTGAGATGAGAGGCTTGAGCAGCAGCACCCTCGTCTCTCTCTGAACTACTGTATTTGCACACAACGTGAAATATTCAGCACTCCACTCGTCTCATTCACCCACATTCCGCTCCATCTCCCCACCACTGTCGTTTAGCTCTGTGGGGGAGGGGGGAGGGCATGGTTCTCCCGCCTCGTGCTGATGGGCTAAAGGGGTTTAGATGAGAGGTGCCTGCTGGTTGGCCGAGCCTCGACTTTTACTATTTTTGCAAGATGATGCTTCCCATTGATTGGGCATGCTCCCAAAGCCTCTGCTGCTGTTCTGGTTAGGGGGGGCAGGGGGGCGGGTTGGGGGGAGAAGCATCATCGTAGCATCTCATCTGGGCTTTTGTCAAGTCGTGCTCATCTGGAGCACACGTGGGTCAGTGAACCGCCACAAAGTTTCTGCTCAGCACCATCCCGATCCGTATCGTCTCTGATTGATGGAACAGCTGTAACCTTGTTTCCATGTTGTGTTTATTAGGAACCGTTTTGGACATTTCTCCCCCTTTTTTAATTTATTTTTCTTTTACGACATTTTTTTTTATGTTGAAGTGAACATGCCAGATTCTCTTTTTGAAGTCCCCTCGCATTCCTCTGCAGCCTCTGTAGGGATCTCCCACCATTGTTTCCCCCCTCGTCTCCAGGATCAAACAGAAGCTGCTGCAGCTCTAAATAAATCCAGTCTGAAAGCGTGAACCAATGATGGAGCGCCATTTTTTGCGGCAACCCTGGACCCGTGTCACTGCTGACAGAGGTTTAAGCAGCTGAGCCGTTTTGTTTTTGTTTGCCTGAATGTTTCCGTGTTTACACCTGTAGGATGGAGGTGATGGCTTCTTGTTGGAGGGGGCAGGTAAGCAACCAAATATGGGTCCGTTTCTAAACTTTGGGGAATAAAACGCTTTTTAATGAAGACGTGCGTGTTCATGGTGTCTTGAATTAAGGAAGGGGCGACTAAAGACTGATGATTTTAGGTTCTTGTGTGTGACAACTTGATTCACCATGCTCCTTTTTCCTCCTTTTGTGTCCAACTAGGAGGAACAAGCCGCCAAGCTGAAGGCAGAGAAGATCCGAGTCGCTCTGGAGAAAATCAAGGAAGCTCAGGTCAAAAAGGTAGACAACCCCCCCCCCTCCCCCCTCGGTTCTCCTCGCACAAAGACCTCTGATTTTTATATAAGACGTGCTGTCAGGTCCTGTTATCTGCACGCCGCGTTTCTTTTGAACTTCATTCAGATGGCGGAAGCACGACGGGGGGAAAATAGGTCATTGCGGTATTTGATCTGCCGGAGAGGCAGCATGGAGACGTGTTTTTTATTTTTTTTATTTTTATTCATTTATTATTTTTTCACATTTTGAACATGCATTCGGAGACAAACATATGTCTCCGTTTTGGGAAATGGCTATAAGCAGATCATGTTTGTTGGCATTTCTCTCTCTCTCTCTGTGTGTGTGTGTGTGTGTGTGTGTGTGTGTGTGTGTGTGTGTGTGTGTGTGTGTGCGCACTGGGGACTGTTTTAGTGAAATGGCAGGACTTAAATCTTAAGTAGATGTAAGCCACTAATACAGCTGTGACAGAAAACACACAGATGTTCTTCATAGTAGCTATATTTTTCATTTATTTTATTTTTATCAGAAATGTCTAATTTTATTTTAAACTATTATCTTTTGCAGAGTAGTTTTTTTTTGGGGGGGGGGGTGGCCTTTCCTCTGAGAAATGTAGGTCAGGCTCCCCTCGTCTGAGATCCTCGTCTTATCCTCTTATTGGTTTGAGCTCCGGTTCAATCATTCATCCCAGCCCCCTGATTGGACATCAGGGTTGAAGTGGGAGGGAATCCAACAGCTGGTGGAGGAAGACACCCCACCAGTGCGGGTCTGAGGGGAGGTGGGCTTGGCTCCATCTTTTGTCACGCTTGGATGTCTTTAAAGTCCTTAAAGACATGAGTAGATGTTTGATGAGGTTTTAAAGCGGTTTATAGAAACTAGACATCTGTCTGAATTTGTCTGTTAGCAGAATGTTCTGAGAACTGCTGGATGGATTTTAATGCAGTTTTCAGTTAATAATCACTGAATGCATCTCTGCAACTAATGAACTTTTGGAGCCAACTACATTCAAGATGTCTGCGATAGCCAGCTGATTCTAGAAAACAGAAATGAAAAGCTCTAGCTCAGTCAGTTTTACAGATATCACGCTGAAGTTTGATGCATTAGTAGCTGAGAGTCATTCACAAAATTTGATGAGATGATCTTATTTGAAAACTCTTGCATGACGGGCAGCGGGCAATATGCTACAAGGAATTCTAGTTCTTTAGTTGTAAATAGCATCTAGAGTTTCTCAAATAAGGACAATAGTTAATTTTATGAAGATTTATTTTTTTTGTCAGGTGAGGGGTACAGAGATTAAACTCTGGTTTAATATTTTTTTTCTTCATAAATGGTTTCCAGGAGGCGTTTACTATAATGGGCCTTAGACAGCTGAACAGATTTAGTTGTGTTAACATGCTGTGATGATCAGAGTATTTTAATATAATTTAAAATAAAATAATAGCAGACATTTTGGTATCAGTTCTCAGAGATGTAGTTAGTCTCATAAATCTCTCTGAATGACTCTTGTCACACTGGCACCAGGCTGAAGTAGAGAATGTTTTTGTGTAGGACAGTGTATTGGCAAGAATTTGGCGATATGATACATATCATGACAGAGGGGTCACGATACGATATATCCCGATATATTGAGATACTGTAAGCAAGGCAATATATTGCAATATATTGCGA